GGATCATAGGTCTAAAGATAGAAGGGACCTTAACAATTACCTAAGCCCAAACTTGCATTTTAAAGATGAGGAAACTGAGGCTAAGAAAGACTAAGTGATTCACCAAGATCAAACCTAAAGGGATTTCAATCTGCTTCAGTGGAGGGAGTACTGCATGGATGAAATCACAGATCCTTGAGATATTAAAGCACTAGGGAAATTGCAGAACACCAAGATGTTGGTGTTACCAAATTACCACTAATCTAAGTAAGGTTGAGGTTTTTAAAATAAAGTAAGAGAGCCAGACCTGCATCCTTTCCATCAGAAGTATGAAATATGAGAACCCCCTAACTAGATTGAAGTGTTATTGGGAAATATTTAACAAAGAAAATAAAAATACAGTAAGACATAGATAATGTTGATATGTGGTTTTCTAAGTTCAATATGTACCTGCAGCAATCTTTATGTATGGTTTAGTGACCTCCCCCATCCCCCTTTTCTATTTGAGTTTGATACCACTGCTCTACATAGTTGTTACGAAGAAAGGCTTATGTTTAGGGATAGGAAGGAGGTGGGTAGGTAGATGTGAAAAAAGAGCACCATTAAAGCATTTTAAGTTTCACAGAGGGAATGGAGGGGAGGTGCAGAAGGGGGCAAAAATAGAGCACTTTGTGAAGGAAGACAGTGCGTCACTGGATCACAGAACCTGTGGAAATGCATAGAGTGTAAGGAGATTTGAAAGCTAGGAAGGGGCCAGGTCAAAAAGGGCTTTAAAAGCCAAACCAAGGATTTATATGTGATTCTAGAGGCAACAGAGTCATTGGAATTTATTGAAAAGGGGAGTGACATGGTCAGAACTGTGTTTTAGGAAGATCATTTTGACAACTGATTGGAGGATAGACTTGGGGGTGGAGGGTGGGGGGCCGGCTCGGAACTTTGCCTGGAGGCCACATGTGGCCTTTTTGACAGAGTCCAAGTTTTACAGAACAAATCCTTTTATTAAGTGGATTTGTTCTGTGAAGTTTGGATTCAGTCAAAAGGCTGAACTTGAGGACCTAGAGGGCCACACATGGCCTTGAGACTGCAGCCCCACCCCTGGACTAGAGACTTATATAGTAGGCAGACCAACCAGAGGTCCAGGTGTGAGGCAATTAGTGCCAGCATGAGGGTGATGCCTGAGAAGAGAAGAAGGCTTATGCGAGAAATATTCGTCACTGTTGCTCAGTTGTGTCCGACTCTTTGTGACCCCATTTGGGGTTTCTTGGCATACTGGAGGGGTTTACCATTTCCTTCTCCAGCTCATTTTACAAATGAGTAAACTGAGGCAAACATGGTTAAATGGACTTTCCCAGGGTCACTTATATAGCCTATAAATCTGAGGCCTGATTTGAACTCAAGAAGAAGAGTGTTCCTTACTCCAGGCACAGAGCTCTATTTACTGCACCACTAGTTGCCCTACAAGAGATATTAGGAAGATGAAATCAACAAGATTTGGCAACAGATTGGATATAGGGGTGGTGTGAGGGAGTGAGGAGGAGTCAAGGATGACATGGAAATTGTGAGGCTGGGTGACTGGGAGGGTGGTGGCCTGGATGCTATAGGGAAATTAGGAAGAGTTTAGGAGGGAAAGATAATGGGTTCACTTTTTGAATGTTGAGTTCAAGATAAATACAGAAAACCAATTTGAGATGTCAAGTAGGCAGTTGGAGATTCTAGAATGGAGATAAAAAGTGAAGTTAGGGCTGGCTAAGTGGATTTGAGAATCATCCATGTAAAGATGATAATTGAATCCCTAGGAACTGATGAGATTGCTAACTGAAAGAATTTAAAGCAAGAAGAGAAGAGAGTTCAGGAAAGAGCCTTGGGGAACATCCATGGCTAGTGAGAGCTACCCAAATGAGAGAGATCTGAGTTTAAATCCTGCCTCAGACACTAGTATGCCTCAGTTTTCTCATTTGTAAAATGAGGGTGATAATAACAGCAACTTTCTACCAGGATTGTTATAATGATAAAGCAAGATACATGTGTAAAGAGCTTTGCGAACCCAAAGCAGTATATAAATGCCAGCTATTATTATGAAGATCCAGCAGAAATGAGGAGTAATCAGACAGGTATGAGAACCTGGAGAGAGTAGTGTCATGAAAACCAAGAGAAGAGGGTGATTGACAGTATCAAAAGAGGTAGTGAGGAGGACTGAGAAAAGGCCATTTGATTTGGCAATTAAGACATCACCGTAACTTTGGAGAGAACAGTTTCAGCTGAAGATAAGATTGGAAGCCAGACTGCAGAGAATGAGTGAGAAGAAAGGAACTAGAGGCTCTGATTGTACAGACAATCTTCTCAAAGAATTTAGCCACAAAAGGGAAGAGAGATATAGGATGATTGTTAAGGGGATGGAGAAGATATGGGCAGGATTTTAGGGAACAGGAAAGCAGCTAGCAGAAAGGGAGAAACTGAAGATAATTGAGAGAATGAGGATAAAAAAAGGTGGTAAGGGTCTGGAGAATTCATGTTGGAGGGGCTTATCTTGGCCAAGAGAATTATGAGACAAGAGTGAGGGAGGAGATAGTGGATTCTTAGAAGGTATCTATCTGAAATGAGGAAGGGAACTCTTAGCAAATGACATCGTTTTTCAGTGAGGATGGGGAAGGATAGGAAGCCATGGGAGGTTTGAGGAAGGATGAAAAGGTCTGGAAAAGCTGCTGTGATGAGTGGAACAATGAGTTAATTATGGAGACATAAAAAGTATTTATTGCCTTACTGCAGAGAGGGTTCACTTTCATCAGCCCTCTAATACTTAGTAGCTGTTTGACTCCATGGGCAAGACGCTTAGCTGAGACTTATTTTTCACATCTTTAAAAACGGGCCTGGGCAGTGGATTTCAGTAGACTTGGATGGAGGATTGTCATTGTAGACTTCTTGTAGCTCAACAAGAGAAACAAAGGCCAGGGGACCAGGGGTGCTTGCACTGGGCATGCAAGAGAAGAATCAAAAGCTTGGTGGTTTTAGCCCCCCAGGAACTGAGTACAGGAAGTGGCAGTAGCAAAGAAAACCCTGAAGCCGCAGGAAAACCAGCCTGACACTGATGCTGTTTGACACAAACTACAGGAAAGGTGGTAGCCGCAGGAGCCAGAAGCAAACCAGAAGGTTCCCCGCAAAGCAAACATTTTCGCCCTCCCCTCCCAGCTCCACTTCCTCAGTGGGGTGGGGGCGGGGGAAATTGGCTTTGGGCATCGGTAGGAGTCCACTTTGCAAAGCCTCCGGGCACGGTTGAGCTAGCGGTGGGAAGTGCAGGTGTACAGACACGCTTTTCTCTCCATACCAAAACTGGCCGTACCCACTGAGCATGCGCGGTGGTCCTACGACTCCTAGTCCCTCCGGGTTTTGCTGGAGGCCGAACTGGGAGGAGCCGAGGCCGAGGCTTTGAAGGTGGCCGTGAACTCTAAATAAGGTAGAGCCTCGGTGCCATGCAGAAGGGAGGGAGGAGCAGGGCGGGGCCAGGGAGGAGGGCGGGGCCAAGGGCTAGGAGGAGCAGAAAAGCTTCTACCGCCCACAGCGGGCCTTAAGCCTGGGTCTCTTTACCTGGGACCACGTGCCTGTCTCGGTGCTGAGATGGGCTGGACCTGAGGCGGGGCACCTGGTGCTACTGTGGTCGCGGGAACAGAGACCCTGAGACTTCTTCTTTTGGGGGTCGACTTGTGGGGCTCGACCTCATTGCCCACTAACGAGGCTGATATAACGCGCCTGGGTCCGAAAGACCTGAGTTTAATGACTCCTGACGCTTTATTAGCTTGTGTGACCTCTGGCAAGGCACAGCCTCAGTTTCCTCATCTGTAAAAGGGGGCTAATAATAGCACCACCTACTTCCCAGGGTGGTTGTTATGTGGATAAAATGAGATCTAGCATTTGTAAAGCGTTAGGTAAATAAATTATGTATAGATAATAGATCTAGATGTCATATAGCTATATCTATTAATAATTATCTATAACTATGTAGAGCTATGGATTTGTCTATAGGCGTAGATCTATGTCAGATATAGATAGAAACCTGTCTATAATTTATTTACCTAGTGCTTCGAGGTTTGCAAAGTTTTACAAATGCTCTATCTCATTTTATCCACACAACCAGCACCCTGGGAGGTAGCTTTTATTATTAGCCCTCTTTTACAGATGGGGAAACTGAGGCTGTGACTTGCCTGAGGTCACACACGAACACACACATATATCCATAAATATCGATCGATCGATCTATCTCTATCAGAGGGGTCGACTCAGGGCTGCTGAGCCCCTGAACGGTGTGTGTGTGGTGGGGGGGACACGCATTGGTACAAAAGAGTCACACTATATTGGGGCTTGAGGGGGAATCTTGGGGACCATCTAGAACCCCATCCGCTCCTTTCAAAGACCAGGAATTTCAGGCCCGGGAGGTGGCCAGGTTCAGAGGGGGTCGGGGTCCCGGGCACAAGAATCGGCCTCCAGGCCCAGAGGCTTCTCCCCGGGCATCCTCCGGGCTTGGAGATCGAGACGACATCGTTCTGACGCTTCGCCCTCCTGGCTTCAATAAAGTCCTTCGGCCACTGGGGACTGAGCATCGCTGGGGGATTCTGGCGGGTACCAGGGGAGCCGTGCACACGTGGGTGCCTTTTTCCCGTGGGAGAAAGTGGGTTAGATAGATACTAAGAACCCCACTTCACGGGGGTCCCAGGCACGCTTCTCTAGCCTTCCCACGAACCCCCGGCACTTCTCCCTCCAATTTCTGACCGCTGGGGAAGAGGCCCAATGTGCGACTAGTAATCCCGAAGCCCGGCCTCCCTCGCGCTCTCGTCAGCCTGCTCGGCAATGCCCGCTCCGCCCCTATGCTGGTCTCTAACACAAGTAGCCCGCAGGGAGCCAGGGAGGAGAGGGGAGGGGCTGCGTGGCTTTTCCGGAAGAATTGGCCCCGCCCCTCTGCTCCCTCGCCCCTCCCTCCCCGAAGCTGCTGGAGGTTCGGAATCTGAGAGCGCACACACTCCTCCCCCCGCCCTCCCGCCTCGCTCGCCTAGCTCCGGGCTCGCGGCCCCGGCTAAAGCCCGGAGCGGATTGTAGCGAAGCGGTGGAACGGCCTTGCTTTGCTCCTTGCCTGTTTAAAGTCGCCGAGGCTGGGCATGCTCAGTAGGCAGGCTCGGTTTGGGTCTACAAGTCGGAAGCTTGTGCACTGCTCCAGCGCCGAGCCGCCGCGGGGAAAAAATGGAGCCGTTCACCAGCGGTGAGTGGTGCGAGCTGAGCCACTGCCCCGCCGCACGTCCGGTGCACTTGGCCCGCGTGGGGGGGGGGGCTGCCACCTCCGCTTCCTGGCTCACTGCCCTCTGGGGCGGTGGGGGGCGGGGAAGGGGCAGGGGCTGCAGGGGCAGGCTGGAGGCCGGGGAGCCGGGGAGGAGGGCAGCTTCGCCTGCAAGGCCTGGCCCCTGGCTGCCCGCTGAAGGTCAGCCCCGCGCCCGCCTCGAAGGAGGGGTGCGGCTGGCAGACGGACCTGCGGCATTTCCACCCCCCTGCTCCCGGGAAGCCCCGGTGTGGGCCGATGGCAAAGTTACTCCTCTGTGCAGCCCAAGTGCCCAAAATGACAGAGGCTGGGAAGAAACTTGGGGAGTCACAGTGGAACTCCCCAGAGTGATGTGGGGTGGGAAAGGTGGCACCTAGTAGGCGCTTAGTAAATGTTGATTGATTAATAATTGATCAAGGCGCCTGCTCAGCCTCCCGGCGCAGCCCTGATTTGCCAAAATAGAAACTTAAGTGGGTGCAGGAAGGCTTTCACTGGGAGTGAGGAGAGGTGGCAGCACCATTGGAGGGATGGGGAAACTTCAAAAGGACTTTCTTCCCTACCTGTCCCACTGCCAAGGCGGGTTTCCCGCATTGGTCCCATCCTTTCTGCCCTATGTATGCATAACCCCAGTCCCAAAGCCCCTCCAGCAATGACAGCGTCCCAAACCAAATGGGCTTTGAAACGCCCACATAATTTTAAAGAGCTTTTCGCCGTGGTGCTCAATGTGGTCCGTATCTGAGCCCTAGACCTCTGTAGTTTCTAGGGCCCTCCACTGTGATGAGAAGATGGATGATTTGTGACATCAGGTAGGACAAAACAGTTTGGGTACTAACTAGGGCCCGTTGTCAGATAGACTTCGGTTAAGTTTGCTTCAGAAACTCTCTAAGTCCTATCTATGTAAAACCAACTACTTTCACTTTAGATAAAAGTGCTGGAGTCTTAGTTTTGGGTTGTGCTATTGCAGTAGTTGGTGAAGTATAGAATTCAGTGAATAGGTTTGTTTTATTTTTTTTAAGCAGGAAGTAGATTTAACTACCTGGGGAGAACTTTTATACCAAAACTTCGGTCACTTTCATTATTCTCCAGGAGTTATTATATAGTGTTCACTTTCATGTTGACAGGTATTTTGAATGTGGTTGAGGTGGGGAACTGAGTTGGTTAGAGCAGGAGGCTAGGATCTGGTTCCTGTAAAGACTGGCTTCAAAAACATGTTTTTTTCCATTGCACCCTCACCCCCTCTCTCCTCCCCGTATTCTAAAAATTGTGTGCCGTTGGTCATTAAGGAGACACTGAGTTAGAGAGTGTGGGTGGCTTTGTGCACTCCCAAGCACACATTCAAAGTTAATGCCCTGCTGACTGATTCTGCTTAGTAAGTAGTAATCTATCTTTCTGGTAAAGTACTGGTAAAGTAGATTAGTCTTAGCAACTTTGAATTTTGAATTTCCTTTCCCCTGTAGGTATTATTTTATTTGTAGTTTTGAGGATCTTCTAGTAAAGTTATTTAACATAGACTTTTGTGTTTAATACAGATCTTTCATACTAAATCCTTTAAAAAGATAATTACCTGTACTATAATTTCGATCATAGGCTCAGTAGTTTTCTGTTTTGAAGCATAATGTGTGGAGCACCATAATTGTACAACTAGTGGTGTTTTATTTACAATCTCCTCCCATTTCAGTAAGTAGTGTCAAAAACTTTTATTTTATAAAAATGAAGAAAAATTCTTAAAACTAGTCCATTATTCCTTGTCCCTCACAAACAAAACAAACCACAGTTTAATGTAACATACCTGTAGGGATCTGGATTTAGGAATTTTGAAGAATTCAGTCATTTGGGAGTGTGTTGGCAAATTTTAATGCCTAAAATGTAAGAAATTGGATGTCTAATTCTTTTTCTATTGCTTTTTTCAAATTTTTGAATAATAAGATGTCTTTTTTTAAAGGATGAGTACTCTGGGAGGGAGGTTTGTCAAGTCTTCCTTAATAAGAATAGAAAATTAGAATGCCTTGCTATTGTGGTTAGGAATTTGGGATAATCTCCAAAGATAAGGATAGTACCATTTATTTCATAACATTGCATTAGAATTTCTTAATGTTGTTGAACATGGCATGGAACTGTATTCATCCACCTCTCACCCATGGGGGGAAGGAAAGTGTGATGTTTCTTTTTTTTCTCCAGGTCTAAAATGGGTCATTGCAATTCATCTAGTCAACTGTTTTTCAGTGTTGTTTTCTTTTACATTATTGTGGTCATTGTATATATTATTCTACTGGTTCTCTGCTTACTTTGCTTTATATCTCTTTCTACAAGTCTTCTCATATTTCTCTGAATCCCTCATTTTTTTCTTGTATGGGGCAAAGGGAAGAGAATAAGCATTTATGTAGCACCTACTGTATGACAGGCACTGTACTAAGGGCTTTACAAATCTTGTCATTTTATCCTCACAGCCATCCTGTAAAGTAGATGCTGTTATCCAGATTTCACATTTGAGGAAACTGAGGTTAACAGTGACTTTTCCAGGGTCACACAGCTAGTAAATGTTTAAGGCTGCATTTGAACTAAAATATGCTGTATTAATACTCCATTAAATTCTTATAACACAATTTGTTTAGCTAGTCATGTTTTTGATAGGTTACCCGCTCAGTTTCTAGTTTTTTCTTTGTTCGTCTTTGCACAGTACCTTGAATATTCAATTAACATATAATACCTATTGTGTGCAAAGTAAGCTGGGGACATTGGGGATACACAGATGGAAAGGGAGTCTGAATATTTGCCATCCGACCCATACCTTTTAAGTAAATACAAAACTAAGTATGTGCAGAATAAATTTTAAAGTGGAATGCTGTTGTGCTATGAGAAATGATGGGCAGAATGCTTTCGGAAAAACTGGGAAAGATTTACATGAACTGATGAAAAGTGAAATGAGCAGAACCAGAAGAGCAGTGTACACAGTAACAGCAATATTGTATGATAATCAGTTGTGAATGACTTAGTTATTCCAGTAGTAAAGTGATCCAAGATAGTTCTGAAGGACTTATGATGAAAAATGCGATCTACCTCCAGAGAAAGAACGGAGAGAGTCTGAATGCAGATAGAAGCATGCTTTTTAAACTTTATTTTTGTCTATATTTTCTTTAATAACATGATTAATATGGAAATATGTTTTGCATGACTGTATATGTATAATCTATATCAAATTGCTTGACTTCTCAGTGAGGGAGGGAGGAAGGAGGGACAGAATTTGGAACTCAAAATTTTAAAAAATGAATGTTAAAAATTAGTCATATATAATTGGGAAAAAATGAAATATTTAAAAATAATTTCAAGAGAGAGGAAATGCTAATAATTATGGTGAGATGAGAATAAACCCTGTGTGGAGGGTAGTACCTAAGCTGTGCTTTCCAGAAAGACTGGTATTATTCTGTTAGGTTGAGGTAAAGTGGGAGTCTGTTACAGACTTGGGCAAAGACATGGAGGTGAAAGATGGATTGTTGCATATGGGGAACAGCTGATAGGCCAGTTTGTTTGGAATCATGAGTACACGAAAGGGGGAGTAATACAAAATGAGGTGCAAAGGGTGGGTTGGAACCTGACTGTTCAGTTGTTTCAGCTGTGTCTAACTCTCTGTAACTCCATTTTGGGGTTTTCTTGGCAAAAATACTGGAGTGGTTTTCCATTTCTTCTTCCAGCTCATTTTACAGATGAGGAAACTGAGGCAAACAGGATTAAGTGACTTGTCCAGGATCACACAGCTAGTGTCTGAGGCCAGATTTGAACTCATGAAGATGAATCTTCCTGATTCCAAGCCCATTTTTCTATCCACTGGCCATCTAGCTGCCCTGGAACCTGAGTATAGGGCTTTAAATGTGGGCTGAAGATTTTACATTTTATATATTATTCTAGGGCAAGTTTTGTTTTTGTTTTTCGAGGGGGGAGTGGTTGCAGGGGAGGGTTTATGTTATTGGATCTGGGTTTTAGGATTATCAATTTATTATCTTTGTGGAGGCTAGATTAGAGAGGAGGGAGAGAAGAGACAGAGGATCAGTTGGGAGGCTCTTGCAGTAGTCCCTTGGAGAGAAGATAGAGACCTCTCCCCCAGCCCCTCCTGGGGAGGAGGATCAACTATGTAATTGTTCAGTCCTTCAACCTTGTCCCACTCTTTGTGACCTCACCGACCATAGCACAATAATACCGTTCTATCCACGGAGTTTTCTTGGCAAAGCACTGGAGTAGTTTGCCATTTCCTTCTCCAGTGGATTTAGGCAAACAGACACTAAGTGACTTGCTCAGTGTCACACAGCTAGTAAGTGACTGAGGCTGGATTCTAACTCAGATCTTTCTGACTCCGGGTTCATCACAGTATTTGCTGAGCCCAGGTGCCCCCAGATCACTGATACTTGGCAAACTGATTGAGAGAGGGAGGAATTGAGAACCTGAGGGATTGGAAGGATGGTGTGAGTTATTTTTTTGGACATGTTGAGTTTGAGTGGGCTGTGGTACATCATGGTGGAGATGTCCAGGGGACATGTTCAGGAGTTGGGAGTCATCTGCATAGAGGTGCATAGAATCCATAGCAGCAGAGGAGAGAATGTAAGAAGAGAAGAGGCCTCAGTACCCAGCTTTGGGAGACAGCCACTCTTAATGGTGAAGGGATTGGTTGATTTAACAAAGGAAGCTGAGGAGGAATGGGTCAGAAAGATGGGAGTAGGGGCTGATCAGAAGGGTTACAAACTGCTAAATGGTCAAGTGCAATGAGAATTTAAAAAAGACTATTGGGTGTCTTTCCTCTGTGTGTGTGTATAATACATAGTATATACATATAAAATAAATAAAATGATACATAAACTAGTTTTCTCTGTGTGTGTACAATACATAGTATATACATATATATGTTATACACACACATATTATTTATATGTTGTCTGCCCCTGTACAATTTTGGCTTC